ATTCACAATATAACTAACCCTCTCTAGTATATCAAATCCGTTCTTCTTTAACCAGACACTATTTCCCTATTTATTTTTAGTTCATGATAACAATGGTATAACGACCACACGTTTTACCCATAGCTAGTTTATATGTCAAGATTATTATGTGTGACATAATAATCAGATGTCTAGTATGCTAAACAAGGATATTAAACTTTAATCTTTTCAGTATTCCAGACCATCGTTAAACAAGCAGCCTCTTTTCTTAAACACTAAACATAATGTTCTGCACCACCCTCTGGAAAACTCTTGCACAGTTATGCTATAAAATCATTGCATAATTTCTTCAGAGTCTGACCAGTCTGAGAAAAGCCTGTCTCAAGATCTTGTCATAATGAGAACAGTCAGTGATTCGTTGTCCTCTGCAGCTGTAGTCAGTGGCAGGGTCCCCAAAAAGCTAGAAACGGCCCTGGTCAGTGGGCTCAAGGAAACTCTCTCTGGCATCTGGAGAGAAGGAAACTCTTGGATCAATGTGGTACAATCAGCAGACACACGTTGTCCTCTGCACAGTAGAAATCCCCCAAAACTGCAGTTCCTCTTCACACCACTGTTGCCTTGACAACGAGGCACAAGCAAAATGTCAAAACCTCCTCAGAGATGCGTTCTTTGCACACTTCTTCTGTTTCTGTAGTGAGCAACATTTCACCAACACACTGATTCAGAGTACAACCCAAAGGTGGCGCATAACTATCCAGTGCTGCTGTAATCACAGCCAATCAGCTACTAGAGAAACACTCAATTTAAATCTCTCCCCCAACGGGTTACAAAATGGCTGAGTGTCTATATGGTCAGGAATGCTGAAACATGTGAATGTTAAAACAAACTAACGGTGGTAGTTTACCCAGATTCTTTACTTCGTTAAAAGTAGTAAAACTAAACTGTAAAATCTCTTTTGTCTAGTTGACGTCCTGCTTTTAAATTCTAGTCAGGAAAATAACATAAACATCATCTTTAAAATCTTCTTAAATTCGAAACTAAAAAGGTATTAATTCTCCACCATGATCCATTTTAACATCAAAGTCTATAAAAACTGATGATTTATCTTTAAAAACCATGAGGAATGACAGTTCTCATAAAACACTATTCTTCTTTACTTCAGTTCTAAGTCAATGAGCAAAACAAGGAAACCCTCCTTAACCACTATAGACTCATCTTTTATCTATTTGCTTATTCTATTCATTTTCTAATTGTTTATCCAAGTTGTGTTACAAGCATGGTTAGGTTGTAATAATACAAAACTAACTGTATTCAGCGCTATATTTGAAAAACAAGTAATCTAATTACAGTTAATGAATATATTTTTGGAACACTTAAAGGAATTCTTGGTGGAAAAGTTTCCTCACAAAATGTAATCTTCATTACTAAAGCTGAAACCTACAGAAATCATCACGGAACAGTTTTCTTTATCACTGTTTCAATAACAACAAAGAAGGCATTGTGAAAACTCCCACTTTGAGAACATCTCAACACTTTATTCCATCTAAGCATGAATGTTTATGACAGACACGCCCTATTAATCCAAAACGGTCTTTAATGATATCAATTGTGAACTTTCCTAACATTAATTGTAAATTCAACGTATGTTCTCTTTAGAACAAAGATAGGATAGTTGCAGCTGAAACTGGTTAATAGCAACTTTCTGTTAACCTAGATAAGCATGTTGTTCTTATATCTAGTAAATACATATATTTTTATTTTATGTTACTCATAAAACAGTAAACCATAGGAACTTTTCCAGAATAATAGTTAACTTTATATAACTTTTACTCTCTCTAGACTTTTCAAAACATCTTAATTCTAGGTGAAAATAAAACTAAATCTTTTTATTTCAATATAGCTACTTCATATACTCAGTAAATCTCTTTTTACTTTCCCTTAATGTTACTGTATGAAATATAATTAAGTACAATTCTTAGTTAATGACAAATACCATGAAATTCACAATGCAATGCAATGGTAACAATCAGTTCTCAATACTTCTCATAAAATCCACAATGTGACGTAACTGTATCCTACAAAAACTATGCTAAAAACAACAAATCATTGTTTCTTATTTATTTCAATATATGTACTACATCAAATCACACATTGATCTATTAATTTTCAATGTATTCACTCCAACTTCAGATCACTCATTGATCTTTCACTTCTTCTTTTTTTTAAACTCAACACTCAGCAGCCTTCTTTCAGGCATCAAAGAAAAGAACAAGCAGACTCACTCCGGGCTGCTTGCTCTCACAGCCGACAATTAGAGCATCTCCTCTTTTACAGAATCGGGAGAAGGGGGGAAATACTTTCACAGACAAATACAGACACACCCCGGCTGGAGCTCTCAGCCTTTTCAGGAGAAGGGGGCTTCTTAGACCAATTAACAACAAACTATGGTATACCAAAACATTTAGCGCTTTATACTGAGTCTCTAACTCATTACGGCCTGACAAAACATGGTTTCCTCCACTTTTGTATTTTGTGAATTCACAGAGCTTTTTATATTTTTAACCCCCTCGACTCAGATCGGGCTTATTAATCTCTTAATTACCGAACGGACCGGAACAGGCATGACCCTCCACCCTGTTTTTGTGCACTTGGCTCGCAAAGCAAATTTGTATTCCTCAGCCAATAAATCTCTGAACCTTAAGACAAATCATCAGGATCTTCTCAGGCAGAATTCAAGACTACGAGCAAATACAGTGATTCCTCCAGCATAACATGTCCTTACGGCTAGCAAAGATCATATTCCCTCAGTCAAACCCTTAGCTTCTCAGGTAGACTACGAGCAGAATACAGTGATCTCTCCAGTATAAACATTTATCAACATAAAACAAGACCTTTACGAATCAACAATGACAACCAGCAGACAGAACAATCAACAAATATATCTCAGCCATAGCTGTGCCTTAACTCCACTCCTCTGCCTTTTTCCTCTTAACCAATACAACTTCAAAAGTCATTTCATTCCAAATACGTTTTGCTTACTGTGAGTTGGTATTTCCTCTGTGGAAGTCTCAAGTCTGGTTTCTCAATTCCTTGAGATTTTACCACAGCTTTCTATGTAGCTGCCTGATCAGGGTGAGTTGAGACCTCCAGAGAAGGAACACAGCAACCCCCAGCATTGGCAATCTCGGTAGGACCTCCAAGATGTTGTGGAGATATCCAGCATAACACAACAGGAAAGAATGAAACAGAGAGGAATCAATAAAACACAAACACAGATATAGCTGATAAGTAATTATTATTTAGTTGTTGCAACAAACAAACAATAATGGGAAGTACATCACCTGCTGCCACAGCAGCCAATCGTGGAAATGCTCCCCAGAACAGAAGAAACACAGGCCTAGATATACTTTTCTAAATGACACACGAACATGTTCCCCAAACATGTTTAACGCACGCACATTTTATCATGCAGCCAACCACACAAATGTCACATGTTTTTCTCTCTGAAAGCTATACCTGTATATGTTTAAACGTCATCATCTCATGACATCCTTAGGATTAGTTAACTAACAAAGGTTAACTGTTTTTATAACCTGAGGCCTTCTCTGAACTTCCTATACCCTTGGTGTCAGCTCACTTAAAATGAATACATCTATTGATAATTCAGAACGACCATTGTCTCTCTAACTGTGTGTGACCCAACTCAGTAACACACATCATATGGAATACCATGTGATCATTAATGAATATCAGAAATACGCTGTATTAAACATTCTGCCATAACATGCGCGTTCGTGTGTGTTGGAGGAGGGGCTCTGTAAGGAAGTCTGTAAGGAAGTGGCAGATCTTTTCCGGTTGTGTATTTTCAAATTCTAGCGCACTCGAGCTGGTTTCTCCAAATGACATACCCCACCTTTAAGCTGTCCATGATTGGTGGACTTTCCTTGGTCAATTTCAGTTCAATCAATAGGTGCCTTTGTTATGTTAATGTGTCATTGTAAATCACCAAATTCAAATATGACCAAAGCAAAAGCACTACTGCAGATCAGTGGAATAGTTTAAAACCATTGGCAGGAGTGTGCATTGCGTCAGCTGTCTGCTTGGGTATGTGCATTAAAACAAACAAATGGGGAGCCACTCCTACTGTGTGTGTATAAATTGCTGAGTTATAATCTGAGCTTTATGGGGGTCTTTAAAACTAACGCACACACACGCACGCACGCACACACACACACGCACGCACGCACGCACGCACGCACACACACAGCAACAGCAGCCCTCTACTTGCTACAAACTTAAATATGAAAAGGTTCAACTACACATAACACATCATCTCGGCTTGCGCAGCACGCTCACAGGCATAGATTGCGCACCTGGAGGTGAAGTGCAGGCATATTGTTATTCAAGAGAGAATACGATGCGTAGTTCTTTTGGAAAACATGTTTTTCTTTTAGCCTATTTACCTCGTTAACGTAAATAACACTCATTACATTGACACATGCATTATTTGTGATTAAAATAATGGTTGTTGGTAATGTATTAGTGACCCCCACGGATGTATGATTTCACTGCTTTCATAGGAGCTCAGGCGCCTCCTTATGGGAGCTCAGCTCCCATTGGCTCCCACATAACTCCAACCCTGAATTGCTCCAATAGTGCTACTAGTGGTCAACAGTTTCCCAGGGTTTCCTTTTCCTAAACATTTTGCTGTTTAAGGTTGTCTAAATGTCTTTAACATACAGTACATGTGGAAGCTTTAAAAGTTAAACCAAATAGTGAATAAAACCCACAGAGAAATATGTAGCCTGCGTTCACCCCCCTCTGTTAGTGATTACTTGTGACAGGCTCTAAATATATAAATGATACACAGAGCTGTTATGTGCTGAGCCAAATGTGCATCATGCTCCCATTATGTTGGTCCATAGCCATAATTAATCATGTTGTTCTACTTTTTTGAATTCATTTCTTTATGGCTGCATGTTCAACCACTGTATTATTCTCTGTTGTTTCCCTCCATACAGGATGACAGTGTGCTGCCCAAGGGAGACCTAGCGGATCAGTTTAAGCCTGTGGTGCCCTGGCCTCATGTTGAAGGGATGGAGGTCGACCTCAACTCCATCAGACTCAAAAATGGTGAGAACCAGTTCCATTACAAATAAATAAACCCAGCTCCTACATTCAAGAGAATAAGAATCTGATTTTTAACTTAATTTCATCAAATTAATGTAACCCAATGGAACGTGTCAAAGTAATGCAATATTCTAATTACATTTAATTGGGGTTTAATCTGCCATAGTTCATTTTTTATTTCAGAAAGAAAAATACAAAATCCCCAAATATTTCCCATGCCCATGTTGATGTTTTGAAATTCAAAACGTTTAATCCTTTGGTAGGAGGAAATTGGTGCTACTAGATACTACAAATGTTCAACTCTTAAAACATTTGCTGTTTTTAACTGATAAAACAACGCAGACATGTATTTACCAGCCAAAGCCCTAGTGGCTGATAATAAAGCAAACCAAGTCAACAAAGGGATTTGGTTCAAGGAAATATCTGTAATGTGGTACCAAATCACCAGGGGCCTCATTTATAAAGCCTTGATTGACGTGGGAAGGTTGCTTACGTAGGACAAAGCAAATAAATACACACAGACATTTTCCGATTCATAAAAGACTTGCGTACGGCACATCCAAGCCGGTTTCCCTTTATAAATCACAATCAACTTGAAATGCGGCGCAGCTTTTGCGGGCTTCACGTAACGCCCATATTTGCCTATAAATAGTCAAAGAAACGCCCATTCATTCATTCATTTTGACTGACTGCATGAAGAAGATCGCAGGAAATGAGGACAGAACAGCTAAAAAAGACATCTCACACCGTGTCAGATTTTGGTTATTTTGGGGAGGTCGAGATAAATCATATTGTTTGGTGGATGCAGTTTGAACCAGAGTAGCAGCATGGAGGTCGGATCGTCACCAAAATAAATAAATAAGTGGTCCGAAAAAAGTTAATGACAAAAAAAATACACATAACCTTCCTCAGGCAGTGTGTTTGTACCGGGGACAGGAGACACCCCCTTGATGAGAAACTGTAAGAAATGATCGGGGAATCCCTCCGGAGTGTAGTCATGACGACTGGATCTGAATTATTTTGTTGTATTTGGTGGTTTGTGTTCCAGCTGTCGATCAGCAACTATATATCCATAATCCACCAGTTAAAGGAAATACAATGTGTTGTGTTATATTAGCTGTACAATTTACCACATATGGTGTTCTTAGTTTCCATACCTCCTGTGTTTTACGAGCGACTTATCAAGTAGGCTATTGGCGAACGGCATTAAACATGATTAAACATGATAGTATATAAAACCATGCTCGTATCTATACAACCTATAGAAATGCAAAACGGCGTCAGTTTAAAGATCCCATGTCATGGCCATTTCCACTGATCATAATTCCATTGTTGAGGTATACTAAAATAGATTTATACTGTGCAATTTTCCAAACTCACATTGGTTTCGCATACAGCATCTCTGTAAAGTATGTGTATTCACCGGTATTCACTCTCTGTCCTAAACGGCTCGTTGGAGCTCTTGCCCCCCCCCTCCCTGTGAGCCCAGTGTGCTCCGATTGGTCAGCTCGGCCACTCTGTTCTGATTAGTCAACCACCAGAGAGGCTCCGCCCATGTCTAACAGTAGGGATGTCCCGATCACCTTTTTTTGCTCCCGATCCGATTCCGATCATTTGATTTTGACAATCTGCCGATACCGATTTTTCCCGATCCGATCTTTATGCAATGCATTAAGAGGAAAAAAAAGGTAACAGATAACGGCTGGTCATCCAACGCGATGAATTCAGCTATCTTGGCTGTTATTTTTTTGGCCTTTTCACTGTTCTGGGGTAGTTTCTCTTTCCTTTTAAAAGTCTCTGAAAGTGTCGGTTGTTTCAGTGCCGTTACCTGAGTGGCCGCTGTGTACTCGTCGTGTTGTTGTTGGTGGTGTTAGATTGGTCATGTTGAACGTAGCTCTGTTCTTTCCACCACGCGGAACCTCCGCCTTGCAAACATTGCATCTGGCTGTTACACTGCCTTCGCTTTCAATTTTATAATACTTCCAAACTCCTGACATTTTCTCTGTCCCGACTCCCGAGTCACCAGCTGAACGTAGCCTCTTGTTAGCTTACTGCTACTATTAGACACTGCGCCCACTCTGTTGCCAGATTTGAGAGAAATAAGCAACCAGGTCTATGAAAACAAGCCCAAAAGAAGCAACACATACATGATGTTGTGTAATTTTAACCCAAAACTAAGGCCTCAGGATGACTTTAAGACGTGAACATGGTCATTTTTGTTTTGTAACATTAAATAAAATGTATAAAAATATTTTATAAAAAAATTCCGATCCCCGATTTTTTTCTCCCGATCCCCGATCACGTGAAAATCACGTGATCGGCTCCGATCCCCGATCACGTGATCGGATCGGGACATCCCTATCTAACAGTGCTTTTTTCGGCTCGCTGTGAGCGGAACATCAGTCTTATAATGGCGTCGGTACAGCCGTATATTTTATACGCTAACTAACCGAACTGTACCTACAACTGTTGTTATAGAGGAGTAAGTTATTTTTACCTGTAATAAACTACTACTGTTTGATGAGAAATCAAATCATGGTTTGCTATATATGAATGATATGTTATAGGAGCAAATAATTCAGGGAAGAAAGGATAGGCCTACTAAGTATTTCCATTAAACTTTATTTTTAGAAATGTACAAAATGAACATAAATATACATATATACACGGTATATCATCCATTCCTCCCCATTGTCGGCATCTTGCCTATCGCAGCTTTGTAAGCTGCTGCCGGGGCTTTTTAGGACGAGGCATCAGAGTGGGTCATCCCGTGTGTGTGTTGTCCGCCAGATACGCCAGGAGTTTCCTGATCTGGCTGGACGAAATCAAATGCAAATAACAAAATATTAGAGAAACTTAGTTGTTTTAGATTCGTTAGTAGTAGTTGTGGTAGGAGTGTGTATCTATCTAATCTATCTATCTAATCAATACAGTTAGCTTGCCAGCTAATATGCTAACCTACGTTTGCTAGTTGTTCAGTGTAATATGCCAATCTACTATGAACAACAGCTAGTCTAGGCTAGCAAGAACATGTTTACAATTGCAATCTTATACGGGTAGTCTGCTACGTTCGGTCATTCATTGTAGCTGGCATGAAAACAATGTTTTCCCTAGCATGTCTAGCTCTAGGTAGCCTTGTTGTTTAGCTATGTAGCATACACGCTATGAACAGTAGCTCGGTAGCATACACGCCAGGAACGCCAACTATAATGTACTGACCGTACGGTAAATCACCCGGAGTATACTGTCTATGAGTATTTCGTGTGTGAATGCAGACATTCTCCTGCTATGAGATACATGTAAGGCCATCTGCTAACATTGGAGTTGATATATGGAAACGCTAGCAACTTAGTTAGCCCAGTTAGCACTGCTCGCACACACACACACTGCTGGAGGAGCAGACAGGCTTGGCGATACAGCTAGAACAAGCGAAACTCATCCTGAGCACACACAAACACTCACAGCCGAAGTAAAAACAATAAGTGTGGCTTGATATTGAGTAAGAAAAAGGTTTATAACGCTGTGAGCATGGGTCTGCGGAGAGCATTTCAACGTAATAGTCGGAAAAACGTTTACCCATTTAAACAGTCGTGGTAGATACCTTGTTTGATTTAAACATCATAAATACACAAACAACAATGAATACTTACAGGTTGTGTACCCGAACTCCCGCTGGTCCAAACAAAGTAGGAACAGCATCGTTCTTCAGTGCCCTACGCTGTACATATCCGGCATGAATCCTGAAAGGTTTTGGGAAGCTTTGTTACGTGAAAGGCTGGCAGAGGGTGCGGCCATAGCTCTGGGCGTGGCTACTGGGTATCCCTACGTAGCGATACCCAGGAAGTAAACAATGGAAAATGAGAAATCTCCAACGAGGCGTTTTGGGGAGGTATTTTCTGTGTTAGAGTTTTACTCGATACAGGGTGTATTTTGAGGGTTTTTGACTCTGCAGACCGTTTACATGCATAAAAACCTTCATAACACACAAGGGGACGGGTAATAACCGGAAAAGCATGACATGGGACCTTTAAAGTAATTCTGTCCTTCTGTTTACCGCATCATTTATGAGAATACATTTCTTAACAAGAGAACATAATCGAAGGGTGATCAATAACATTGCCGTATTTATTTATTTCTCCAAGTTATGTTTTTGTGTGCACTGAGGAGTCTCAAACAGGCGTTTGTTTAATCATTTAAAGATTGGCTTTAATCAATGTTTGAAAATGAATTCTTCATATTTGATAAATGAGAGGTAACATTTTATTTATGGTATTATTTCCACATATTTCTCTCCATTCTTCCTTCTGCCAACGGTGTCGCAGTTTCTCGTCTCTCCCGTTTTTGTGCTTAGTGCGTACGCATGGGTCAGAGTTTGCGTGGAGGACCGCACATTTTCCCGTCAAGTTTGTTTTTTATAAATCGCAAACATTGCGTAGAAACTGGCGTACGCCATCTTTTGAGCGTACGCACCGTTTATAAATTAGGCCCCAGGACAATCTATCTTCAGGTCATGGAAGACAAGTCTTGATGAGCCTGCAGAAACCATGTACTAAAATCTCAGTGGTATATCTCACTGTGGATACAACACAATGTAGCATTCCCTCTGAAAAGGAGGGCAATACATGAGGTACAGTTTTATGTTGTGGTATTGAGTAATCTCTTGGTTTCTGGTTGCCGTCTCCAGAAGGGGCCAACCATGTCCAGGAAGCTGAGCAGCAGCCCAACCAGAAGCAGGTGATCCAGCAGCAGTATGTGACATTCAAACCCCACACACAAACCTACACCATCCCTGTCCTGAAGAAAGGTATCCTGGGAAACTTTGAGCCCAAAGAACCTGAGCCTCCGGGGGTCCCTGGCGGTCCTGGAGAGGGAGCCAAGCCTTTTGTCCTGGGTCCAGAGTACAAAGACGCCATCCAGACTTCCATCAAAGAGTTTGGCTTCAACATGGTAGCTAGTGACATGATCTCACTGGACCGAACCATCAGTGATATACGCCATGAAGAGTGAGTTCAGCTGTTCATACTGACTACAGTCTGCCACTGTGTTTGTTCAAACTGTAATTAGCCCTGGATTACAATAACAGCACAAATTCACCAATTTGCAATCTAATCCTAATATGGATTGTTTTTTACTAATGGACCACTACACTTCCACACATCCACTGTCTGTTTAATCGTATCTCCAAAGTCATGTAATACATACAAAATTGCCCAAAAATTCCAAGTTTTAACAATGAAATGAAAGCAAACATTATGCATTATCTACAAGGGCACTTCAATAGCACATAACTCAAGGCCACATGCCTTATACTGCTGATAACATTCTCCAGACCCACAGCATTACGCTTCCATAAAGGGTTTTTCAGACCTGCTACAAAATGTAATGGGTTCTTCCTTGGCCCCAGCTACACCCTTCAACTAACTTTCAAGAATATCGGGCCTGGTGTTTTATGTAATCCCAGACCCATAGTAATGATTAACTTGTCTTCTGAACACACACACACACACACGCACACACGCACACGCACACAGAAGGCAGTAAGGTGTGACTACACAACTAACTGAACAGGCTGCCTGTAACCGGTCTGACAGATTAAAATGACACTGTTGTTACATGTATACAGTGTACAGTTCCAAACATACAGAAGTGCACTTCTGTATGTACAACATGAAGTTGAATTAGAAAATGTGTAACATAAGTGTAGCTGACCTGCCCTCTGCACTCTGTCCCACCTCTGCAGGTGTAAGTACTGGCATTATGATGACAGACTGATGACCTCCAGTGTGGTGATAGTCTTCCATAATGAAGGCTGGTCTACACTGATGAGAACCATCCACAGTGTCATCAAGCGGACTCCCAGTAGATACCTGGCTGAGATAGTCATGATAGATGACTTCAGCAACAAAGGTGGGTTTGCTTTCCTCACTTACAGTATAATGATTGGGGGTGGGGGGGGGTCACAATATGATTATATCTTGAACAATTCAGCATCAACCACAGAAAGGAGGAGCCCTCCCTTAGTACCTATGTGAGCTAAATAGCCGACCACTAACCTCTGTCACCATGGTGAAGTCACATTGTTTGGCAAGGGAATTAACAGTGTGTTCTTGGCCCACGGAGCAAAGCAACATATGATTCCCTCAGAGCCCAGGGCTCCACATCAATGCCCAGTGGAATGTCTCAGTGCACAATAAAGGGTGTGTGTGTGTGTGTTGTGTGGTGTGTGTGTGTGTGTGTGTGTGTGTGTGTGTGTGTGTGTGTGTGTGTGTGTGTGTGTGTGTGTGTGTGTGTGTGTGTGTGTGTGTGTGTGTGTGTGTGTGTGTGTGTGTGTGTGTGTGTGTGTGTGTGTGTGTGTGTGTGTGTGTGTGTGTGTGTGTGTGTGTGTGTGTGTGTGTGTGTGTGTGTGTGTGTGTGTGTGTGTGTGTGTGTGTGTGTGTGTAGAGCATCTGAAGGAGCGTTTGGTTGCTTACATCAAGCAGTGGAACGGTCTTGTAAAACTCTTCAGGAATGAGAAGAGAGAAGGACTGATCCAGGCCAGGAGTATAGGAGCACTGAAGGCCACTAAAGGACAGGTATGGTATGATCCTCGGCTCCTACTACCACAACTACTGAAACCTAACTTATACCAAGTCTGAAACACAGTTGGTAGCATTGATCAGACTGACAACATGAAATTCTTTTTAAACACAAAGGAAAACAGACATGTTGTGTTCCAGGTGCTGATCTACCTGGATGCTCATTGTGAGGTTGGAGTCAACTGGTATGCTCCACTGGTTGCTCCTATTTCAAAAGACAGGTAACACACACACACACACACCATTTTTCAAATATCATACAAGGTAGAAATTGAATAGAGCTGTACACACACACACACACACACACACACACACACACACACACACACACACACACACACACACACACACACACACACACACACACACACACACACACACACACACACACACACACACACACACACACACACACACACACACACCTGTTGATCTGGCTGTTATCCAATAGAGTTTACAGACTGCTTTATTACTTATTGCAGTCTGTTATTTTAATCATATTTCTTTTCAGCAACATTTACAATATTTTTTTATTTACACATCTGGTCCTTTTTTTTGTTAGGCAGTAGGGTACGGTTCATACAGAAAACATTGTGTTACATTTTATGCGAGAATGTATTTGACAAAGATCATCAGTAAGCTACTCTTGGTGCATGCAAAAGTAAGTAAGTGTTGGTGTCCAGTTGAATCTTGATATCTGTAATCAAATATAACCTTCTTTCAACCTCATTATATCCCTGGAGCGCAATTGGCCTTTCTAGCAAGGCGTATTATTAGGAATGGATAGACATACAGTAAAGTAACGGGGAGTGGAAGTAGAAGTCCACATTTGTGCTCTTTCCTTTATTCCTATCTAAAGGGTTGTCCTGCAGCACATTCAAAGTCATCATTATACATTTTCAGTCCTGACCAAGTGATAGAGATTTATGGATTGCTATTATTTCACAGCTGTTTTTGAGATTGTGTATATTCTTATGTATTAAATAGCTTCTGCTCTCAGCTGATGCTGCAGTATTCTGTTTCATGCAGAGTATAGTTATGCATA